TCAACACATAATATATCGACAAACGATTTTCTTTATGATGGTACATTAATGTAAATTTAATGTATATCATTTGATTTTCTTACTTTTTAAGTATAATTAATAAAAGCTTGCAATTATAAACGTTTGTTAATTTATTTTACAATAAGACTTTTTATATTTCAATAGAATCGAATCACATACCTGAAACAAACCCCCACCCAAAAAAGACACACCCACACAATAACTATATCGAATATACAACTATAGATGCATAAATAAAGCACATAAGACCTGTGCTGCATAACAAAGAAATTAGCAGGTAATATCAGCGACAAAGTAAGCCTATAAAAGACAAAAAGCATACAATTCTAATACCTGTTGAGGAACAGGAAATAATTTGGATAGAAAACTTCAAAAATATTCTAAATTATTGATGCAACAGATATTCGACCACACTTGCGGGATCTTGAGAATAACTGCACAGGGTTAACAAATGTGAAAATAAAAATGTTATAAAATAAAAACGAATAAAACCTGACCTTAATATATCAGCAAACATAAACTACCACATGCTAGGTATTTTGAGAAACAAAATACAAAATACTTCAGGACTAGAGGGAATGATATCTAGAAAAACTTCCCACAAATATATTTTACGTGCTACCCAAACTATTAAGATATGTTTATATTGTTAGCACCAGGTAAAAACATTTTTTTTGGGAAGAGTAAAAATGAAAGTATTTTGGGAAGAATAAAAAAAAACGTATTTTGGAAAGAGCAAAAAAAAAAATTGAAATGGTTTGAACTTACTAAAGCAGAGGAGAATGTTGACAGACAAAACAGCAGCCAATAGAACAGCAAACATGATGAGAGCCTGTGTTGATGTCTTAGTCGCTTACAAAAGAAGTAAGTGGTTCATGTAGATGATGACCTAGACTACAGAAAAATCGTTATTGATTTTGATTATTTTACCCCAGACCTGACCTCGTGGCTTTTTTTTTATAGTTTTGGTTTTATTTTCTGATTGTTTGAAGATTCAATTACTCCATGGCTATGGAAGCCAATCCAAAACTAAAATGGCTGAAACGCAATCAAGGAGTCATATGGCGCATGACATGTTTACAAGTTATGCTTAATGAGATTTATTTTCTACTTATCATTTCAAATGCAACAGAAGTTTGAACCACTAGAAAGAAATCAATCAAGGCAGTAGAGGCTAACGTTTACTTAAAGCATAGCTATGTTTTTAAAACTAAATAATAATAAAAATTACAATCAGTAGGTACGAGTTAATTAAAAGAGACCGCAACTCAGCATTGTGTGAAGTAGCTTTACTATCCAGTGTTTCTGTCAGACTTTTTTCTCCTGGGGGGGGGGGGGGGGGGCGTGGAAAGGGGGCTGGGTGGGGGGAACACACCCCTTCCCGAAGAGATGCCTGGGCGAAACTCTGTTCTATCCCAATACACTCACGCCCCTTACTGAATATTGTGCTAGTATTTTAATACGGTTTATTTACTTATATGATCTGTAAATGTACCATTGAGATACAGGACCATGATGAACAAACCACAAAAAATTCCTAAAATGTTTTATACGCTACAAAACGTCCACGTCTATACATTGATATAAAATCATTTAGGCCTAAAACACGTTTTCAAATGCACCCAAAAAATGAAAATAAAACTAATCTGCTTTTTTACTTTCTCGTATACAAAGTATTTAGGAAGTATGATCATTGTGTAAAAAATGATGTGAAATTTTACCAGTTTTCATCGTTTTACACCTTAGTACTTCATCATATAGCGAGTATCGTGGAAAAATAATAAAAGCAGATGTATGAAAATTTCGGTGTTCTATGCGTAACTGAGTTGGAAAAACTGGGCTTTGCAATTCTGACCGTATATCTGTGATTGTGTGTGTATGTGTGTGTGTATGTATGTGAACACGATAACTTAAATACCGTTACAGCTAGGTTTATGATATTTTACACAAAAGTATTATATTAAATTTTTAGTTCTGTGTCCAATTTTCAGCGATTTCCAGTAACCGGAGGTGGGACTTTTTGTACTTTTAATTTTTCAAAAGTTTACAGCTTCAGTACTGTTTCAGATAGCTAAATAAAATTTCAAATGTAAGTACAAAATCGAATTCACTGCATTCTATCGCATTTTGAGTAATATCCGATGACCGGAAATAGTAATTTACGCGATTACCTATTTCTAAAAAAACGAATGTGAATTCATAAAGTACTAATATTATTCCGCACTATGTGTTTGGCGTTCACTTGATGCGCAATTCTTTTTCCTACGAGATTCTATTCTATTTTAAAAAGTTTAAGTAATTAAAAATTGATTAAAAATATTGTCTATATCCCGAGTTGCCATACCCGTAGTGTTATATAAGAATATTCGGGAAACTTTAGGGGAGATACTCCCGGTTTACTCATAAAAGGTTTGTCGCTGAAATATGAAAAAGATCTCTTGAGAGACCTTAGCTTTAATTAAAGCGATCTTAGCTTTTATTAAAGAAAGCAGATTTGGTATATTTTCTTATTTTCAGTGCATTTAAAATCTTATTTCAGTAAAGATATTTTATATTTATGTTATTTTCCACTTTAAAGTGATTCACTATTTATAAAGTCAACACTACTAAAAATATTTAAAAAAACAAAACAACAACGCCATCAGTAGCTCGTGATATCTGCAGATGTTTATCTGCCCGTTAATGCAGCCATCAATGACTACAATTTACAGATAACGGTAAGCTGATCCAACGAGATAGTTCAATAATCTTGCTACCGTCTCTTTGTTTGACAAACTATATTATCTGACCCTAATAGCCCTCACTTGTAAACATTCTCGTGAACCACAACTCACGATACTGTTAGGGTTATTAAGTTTATTCTTCTGCTATTGATTTAATAGTTTATAGTGCGATTTATACTTTCCACACGAAGCCTAAAATCCTAAGATTTTAAGATTTTTTTCGTGGTTTATTCATGATTATGAATTTGAAATCACTTTAAGTTCTTATGTGCAGTGTGTCTGACATTACATACCTTGTATGTCAAAGGAGGAGTGAGGAGGAAGTGGTGGGGGGGGGGGGGTGGAGGCGGGGATGACAACTAGATCGGATTTTGTTAACTATATATATATATATATATATATATATATATATATATATATATATATATATATATATATATATATATATATATATATATATATATATATATATATATCATAATGAAATAGTTTAAGACTATTCGTGTTTACAAAATGTTTTTGTCTATACTCAGAATTTAATATATCGTCATCATAAATGCTAAAGTATTACAGCATAATGAAAGTTTTCAAAATCAGAGATGGTATAAAAGCACGCTTTTCGATATATTAGAAAAACATTTGGAATAACAGCCTACATATAACTAAATATCGATCTTTCAGTTCAGTTCATACATTTTAATTAACTACTGCTTCTTTGTGTTCTTTAAAGATTATTTCTTTTAACATAGTGATAGGTATGGGTTAGATCACTGTATTGATCACACACCTTTTTACTGGTAATTTCAAAAACAATATTCACAGAGTTTTACGTTTAAAATGCTAATTTTCTGGCGGCATGGTACTTTGGTACATTATTACGCGTTTTTCTACATGTACTTAACAGATCAGTTTACTATCGCACACACTGTTTCTGTATTGTAATTTTTTTTAAATTAATCACACGATTCAAACTGTATATATAAAGTAATTATGTGTAAAGTTTTATGTATAACATTTTCTAATTCAATTATTCGTAAGCAAATACATTATACAGTTGCCTTAAACTTAACACCCCTCTTGCCAAGTGGTACTACCGTAGAGGCATTTTAAGCATTGCAATACATCGTAATGGTTATTTTAAAATGGCAAACTGATGCAGCTGTTAATACGTGTTGTGAACGTAGACACTACTAGACTAGAACAATAATGCTTAATTGCTGCATGAAAAGAAATCTTGTGATTTACATAGATGTGCCGACCAAAATATTTTTTAAACAAATATCATTGTTTAAAAACTTTGAATTTAAAAAGTTTCCAAAAAGGCGCCACTTTGCTGAAAATGGCCAGAGGGGGAGTGGCTGCTCCCCCTGCTCCCCCCCCCCCCCCTGCGTACGCTACTGATATATATATATATATATATATATATATATATGATGGAAAATATTTGAAACCACACCATGAGACGGTCCTGGGCACGCCACTGCTTAGAATAGCTCACAACATCGATGTTGAACAATCAGCACATTGTAGTGTGTAGCATTAATTTTTAGCAGAATTACAAACATTTTCCCCGGTGGTGGGAAATGAGATTGGGGGGGGGGGGGGGCTTGGAATTTTGAGCGGAGGGATGCTTGTTAGAGTAAGACGTGTACTACATAAAGCTTATATATTTATTCATTTCGTCGTGGGGAGAGGCGGCAGACTTGAAAGTTGTGTAATCTTACCATCAAGCTATACACCAGAGTCAACTATACATAGTTTGTGTAACCTACCCAACAGCACACCTTTTCAAAATATTTTCACCGTACACAAAGTGATTTAAAATCAGAACCAAAAAAAAAAAAATCACGTTCTTTATTTGATCTCTAACTTTCAAATTCTAATAAAAAATTATTATCATGTTTAAAAATTAGTTAAATCAGTTAGTTGCATCAAAGAAACGTTTATTAGATTGTTTTTTAACAGGCAAAGCGACAGCAACAATTCAAATATTTTTAGGAGTCAGTTCAATGAAAATGGTTAATTGGGCACGAGTGGCGCATATTATTAGATCATGGAGGGGTGGGGGATGGGTGGGGAGCAGTAGCGTAGGGAGGGGGGGGGCGGGGGGGGGGCATATGTCCCCGGGCGCCGATCTTAGTGGGCGCCAAAATGGGTTGGAAAAATAAATTGAAAGGTTGAGGGGGGTGCAAATCGAAAGTTTGAGGGGGGGGGGTGCAAATTGAAATTTCGATGGGGGGGGGGGGGGTTGCAAATCGAAAGTTTGATGGAGGGTGCAAATCGAAAAGTTTGTCCCCGGGAAGGGTCGCTACGCCTCTGGTGGGGGGAGGCGGGGCAGGGGAGGAAATTGGGTATTGGTGGGAAGGGGTTCAAGAGTTAAGATACTTTAACGAAGTTTGATGTACTGTAGCTTAAAAAAATGTGACATTGAGGACACTGACAATTTAGAACAGTCTTCGGATTTTCATTTCCGCCCAATCGAGATTTTTGCTTCCTGTGGACACGGCATCCCAATGGATTCCTTTTCCCCATTCTCTCGAGCGCCATACACCGGTCAGATAGGCATTGTGACAAAAGTTGAACCACCAACCCCCACTGTAGGCTTTGTTACATGATGTGGCGCTTTTGCTGTCTGATGTGGAGAACCTCATGCCATTGTGATAACTGAGATTATCCTTGGCGTCTCCATAGTACTGTCCAACACGAAGCGTGTAGAAATTGAGTTGGTTATCGACCTTAAACCTTTTGTAGCTGGCGTAGTAATTTTCGCCTTCAAACTTCATGTCCACTCTTAACTCCCACTCTCCGCTCTGCCGGATACAATAGAGAGTGAAATTTGAACATAATTCATAAGTACACATAAACGTATTTAGGTTTTAATATGTGTATTTATGTTATGCATATATTTATGTAGGCTATATACAAGTGGCGTAGCGAGGTCGGGTGTCACCCGGTGCGGCACTTAATGGTTTCATCCCCCCAGAGGCGTAGCGTCCCTTCCCGGGGACAAACTTTCACATTTTTATTTGCAACCCCCCTCCCTCAAACTTTCGATTTGCACCCCCCCCTCTGGTTTTTATCTATATATTTTGCTATTTTTTGCCTTGGTGTCACCCCCCTAAATGGTGTCACCCGGTGCGGTCCGCACACCCTCCCCCCCCCCCTTCCCGCTACGCCTGTGTTATATACGTGTATATTTTATGTACGTTTTTTTGTATCGAAGTATTCATATTAGTAAATATTACGTTTGTTAACAAGTGTAGTTGTTCCAATCCTTGCCAAAAGTCACCTTCATAGGTGCCAAATCCGTTACTGTAATCGGACCAAGGTCTTGCAAAGCTTACATCCCCGACACAACGGCGCTGAAAGATTACAATTTCTAAAAATTCGTTTAAAGCTTAAAATTTATTAAGTAATACTTTATTTTGAATATATCTAACATTTTCTTGTTTTATGCGAAACACGTATAGCATGATGCTGTTAAAACTTTAGAAAATATATAGTTTAAAATGGTTGAATTAATACATATTAACAATTCAAGAAAGATTATTTATAATTATTATTGAATAGGTTGAAATTTTAACATAATCGAATTCTTGACTCACAAATTTTAGTTATTGCCGATTATAATGCACGCATTCTTATTACATATTTTAGTTGGAGCAGTTAATACATTATTAATTAAATTTATTAACAAGAGACACATGCGTTTTATTTGTCTTTAAAAATGTAATTAAAAATAAGCCTTATTATTTTGTTTATAAAACAATAGCTTTTTAACAAAAAACCAACAATATAAATCATGGATATATTTTTAAATTAAACTTAAGGGAGGTAACTAAGAGGAGGCTGCTTTTACGGGGGGTGGGGGGGATTGTAGGGTAGACGTTGGGGGAAAGGGGGGGGGAAGGGTATCGTCCTAAAGGACCTACTAATAGTATTTTAAAGCAAATATTTTCAATGGCAGCGTTGGTACTGTCGAATTCACAAATTATGAATTACTGGAAAGTAGAAAATAAAACAACTAAATAGCGGCGTATGATACGCCGTTGGTCGGCTCGTGTACTATATTTAAAGTACAGTTTTTAAACAATTTTCTCTAGAGATGAGTGCTAATTAATTATGTCTTAGCCTTGTTTCAAGCCTCTTGTTGTGATATATTAATATTTTCTTGTTTTATGCGAAAAACATATAGCATGATGCTGTTAAAACTTTAAAAAATATATAGTTTAAAATTTTTACCATGATCAGAATCCATCCACCACCATCAGTTTTGGTGTCGCATAAATTGACATATCCTGAGGTTGAAGCCATAACAGCTCTTTCTGGCAAATCTTTAGACATATAACTCTTTTCGCACAATTTCTAAAGAAACAGTAATAACGTATGATTTCCTACACAGTAACTAAGTGCATTACGTTATATTGAGATACCAATACAAACTATGGTACCTCGAGATACGAGTGCCCCGACATACGTGATATCTGATATGAAAGCGTTTGATCGAGTTAAAATTGTATTTGACATAGGAGCAATAGCTTTGCGTATGTTAATGCAATGAAACTCCACCACTTATTTCATCTATCCAAACTAAATCTACACCTCCCCCAGCATCTTCTGTTAGCTCAAGTCGGCTGATTTTCAAGGTAAATACACTTCATAAAACAAATTTGTTTTTTTGCGTTTTCATTTTCTTTTATAAAAAAAAATCCGGGAGTGATCTCGTAAAAAAAGAATTGCTAACCAAGTGAACGCCAAATAAAATGTGCATAATAGTGCTGGATATTATTAGTACTTTATAAATTTACAATCGTTTTTTTTTTAGAAATCGGAAATAGCGTAAATTACTACTTCCGGTCGACGGAATTTGTAAGAAGCCAGAGAATTAGAATTTTTACTTACATTTGAAATTTCATTTATCTATCTGAAATAGTACTCAAGTTATAGGCTTTTGAATAATTATAAAAAAAAGTAGAAACAGTTCCACTTCCGGTTATCGGAAATCGCCCAAAAGTAGATAAGGATCTACGATTTTGATATAATACTTGTATATGAAATTTCATCAACCTAGCTGTAGCGGTACTCAAGTTATCGTGTTTACACACACACACACAGACACACACAAAGACATACGGACACGATTGCAAAACTATGTTTTTCCGACTCAGGGAACCCTAAAACGTCGAGATTTGTAAAAATCTAGATTTTTTTTTCAAGATTACAAGACTTGCTTTATACTTCGTATATACGAGAAAATAATAAACCGGGAGTGATCTCACCCAAACTTTCTCGAATATTCTTATATAAAATAACAGGGGATGGGAACTCGGGCTATAGACATATTTTAAATCCATTTTAAATACTTAAATTTTTAAAAGTAGAATAAAATCTCGTAGACAAATTAATTGCACACCACGTGAACGCCAAATAAAAAAGTGCATAATAGTGCGCAATATTATTAGTACTTTAAAAATTTACATTAGTTTTTTGAGAAATCGGAAGTAGAGTAAATTACTACTTCCGGTCAACGGAAATTACTCAAAAGTTAACAGAAGGTAGAGAATTAGATCTTTTACTTACATGTGAAATTTCATTTATCTATCTGAAATAGTACTCAAGTTATAGGCTTTTGATAAAATTCAAAGTGAAAAAAGTACCACTTCCGGTTATCGGAAATCGCTCACAAGTTGAGACGGATCTACGATTTTGATAAAATACTTATATATGAAATTTCATCGACCTAGCTGTAACAGTGCTCAAGTTATCTTTTTACACACACACAGACACACAGACACAGACAGACACACAGACATACGGACAAGATTGCAAAATTATGTTTTTCCGTATCAGTGAGGTTAAAACGTCGAGATTTGTAAAAATCTCATTTTTTTTTCACTATTAAAAGACTTTCTCTATATGTATAAAAAGTTTTCAATAACAAGCTGTTAACATGACCTAAAAAAATTATAAAAAAATGGTTTTCTATAAATATATAATAACACTACTATTGAAATAACAAGTAAACGAAAGTTGGGGCACTGTATTTTATCTTGGTTATCTTTACTAAACTATAAAAGCTTGTTGTTAAACTTTTAAATATAATCTTTCAGTACTTTATATGTTCTAAATTTGATAGAGTTGCATGACTATACACCAATAGTGCACTAAAAAATACGAAAAATGCAGATATAATAGCACGGTAAATAATCCTTTCATTATAAAAACTAATTGACTCATAAAAAATTAGTCATCCAATTCATTCAAATTTGATCTCAGATTGCAGTTTGAACGGGTTTTGACACGTAAAACAACTGGGGAGGCATTTATTTGATTCGAAAAGAATAATGGCATTTTAATTCATTTTTAATGGAGAAAAAATCTGTTTGACGTAAGACGCATTTGACATACGATCAGTGTTGAGGAACGTTCGTATCTCGAGGTATAATTTTACTTTATATGTATCTCTCTATCTGCGTCATTAATGTAAACACCTCCTGTTAACTTAATTAATGTTATTCTTAATTATTTTAAAATTATTTCTAATAATGTATTAGTTGCATGTCAGGTAGAGTCTTAAAATGAATTTTCTAAGCATTATATTCTGTGATTTCTTTCAAGTTTTTTTTCTCTACTCTGTATATAAAAAGCAATGTATGTGTGGGTGGGTGTGCGTCTGTTTGTCTCTCTGCCTTTCATGAAGTACTACACCTTTCATTCAATAGCCATGAAATTTTGGTAAGGTGATGAAAATACACCTGGGGAGGTTTCTGAGGGAAAAAAATTCAAATTCGCAGGGGTGGCGCTCGGGTGGGTGCGATTTGTTTTTCACTATATATGGTATATAAAAATAGAAGTCGTTTGCTGGTAGACACCGTTCATCGGCTCGCCATAAAAAATTAGGGAGTTGATTAGTAAAAACACAAAATATACACAAAAAGAAAGACGAAAGAAAGGCGGACAGGCAGACAGACAGACAAAGAGACTTATCGTTTCTAGAATCGATACCGGTTTACGTTGCTTGGACGGGACTTGGCCTGCAATAAAATGTGTAAAAACACAATATGTTACCACAAAACAAATAGGCGGCTCTAATTTAGTCATAATGCAATTAGGTATATATATATATATATATATATATATATATATATATATATATATATATATATATATATATATATATATATATATATATAAAGCAATGTATTTCTGTGTGTTTGTGTCTTTTATGCATTAATACACCTTTCATCACATCGCCGTGAAACTGGGAAGTTGTTAAAAAAATACTCCAAGGGAGGCTTCTGCGAAAAAAAAGTCATATTCGGAGGGTTGGCGCCCCGGTAGGGTGGGATTTGCTTATTTCTCTAAATACAGTAAATAAAAATAAAAGTCTATTGCGGTTTGACACCATTCATGCGATCGCCATCAAACTTTGTGAGTTGATTAGAACACTCCAAAGAAAGGTTCTGCAAAAAAAAAAAAAATTTCGCAAGGGCGGCGCCCCGGGTGGGTGCGATTTTTCTAAATATACGGATTATTAAAAAAAATTTGACGCGGTTCAACATATTTCATCCGAGTGCCCTGAAACTTTGGTGAGTTGATTAGAACACTGCTTGGAAGGGTTCTACAAAACAAAAACTTCTTTAATTTCGTGGCGCCCCGGGAGGATGCGATTCTTCTCTTTATAAGGTATTTTATAAAATAATAAAGCCGGATGCCGTTCGATACCTTTCATTCAACTGCTATACAACTTTAAGAGTTGATGAGAATACTTCCGAGGTTTCTGTGAAAAAAATAATTAAAATCTGATATGTTCGGCGCCCGGGAGGGCGCGATTTTCTTCAACACACATTTAGAGCGGCTATTTTATCACTTGACATACGTTAAACGTGCGTCCTGTTAGCGATTAAGGGGTAATACTAAATTAAGCGCTAAAAATTCAAAAGACGCAACCGCCGACGCCCCATACATTGCAGGACTCGAAGCTCCCCCGGCTCCTCTGCGAGAGATATGGCGCCTAAGTTTAATTTTCAAAAAAAGTCTATACAATAAAGACACGATGGGCAACAACAATCGTTGACTATATCGAACCGGCGCGTCCAACGGGGCTCCTGTAGGGTTAGATTTGGCGCCCTGGGATTCCCCTGTGCACAATGGCGCCTGCTTTTGTTCTAAACAGTCCGGTAGACAATGGATAAGATGGGGCGTTACAGTCGCTCACTAAATTGGATCAGGCGTGTCCGTCGATGCCTTGGGTGCAGTTTTGCTGCGAACAAACATTTCAGTTTCCGCCCCCAAATGCTCACATGGGCCACTAAGGGGAAATGTAATAATTAACCAGTTAAAGAAAAATGTCCGGTAAATTTGTGTAACTTTGGTCAATGACGCAATCTGCATAATTGTTTCAGGATGGTATGTGGCACTCTGGGTTATCCTGTGAGCATTATGGCGCCTATGTTAGTTTTAAGGTGCCTCTGTGGTAGTGTAATCGGGGGCTCCCTAGAGCGCCCCTCTACATTCCAGACACATATGCGGTCACCAAAGTGTGTTCTACCTCATTATTTTGGTGAGTGATTAACGTACACTTAAGGTTTTCAAGCGGTAGTGTAGGTAAACCCGTGTCCCGATTTTTATGATCCAAGCTTAGGCATTGTTTACATTTAAATAACTCAGTTTTAGAAAACGAAGTCACGCGTATAAGAATATAGGATTAGTAACGCATTGATGCCATTTTTCTTATACATTTCGTCAAACTTTCTTCTATCACCGCGGCAACGCGCGGGGACGGGTACGCTAGTTTCAAATAAAACTATTTTCTTAAATATATAATTGGATATAACTAATTTAAAAATCTACAAACAAAAGAAAGTAAAGTTAATTTTCAACACATAATATGTCGACAAACGATTTTCTTTATAATGGTACATTAATGTAAATTTAATGTATATCATTTGATTTTCTTACTTTTTAAGTATAATTAATAAAAGCTTGCAATTATAAACGTTTGTTAATTTATTTTACCAATAAGACTTTTTACATTTCAATAGAATCGAATCACATACCTGACACAAACCCCCACCCGAAAAAGACACACCCACACAATAACTATATCGAATATACAAATATAGATGCATAAATAAAGCACATAAGACCTGTGCTGCATAACAAAGAAATTAGCAGGTAATATCAGCGACAAAGTAAGCCTATAAAAGACAAAAAGCATACAATTCTAATACATGTAGAGGAACAGGAAATAATTTGGATAGAAAACTTCAAAAATATTCTAAATTATTGATGCAACAGATATTCGACCACACTTGCGGGATCTTGAGAATAACTGCACAGGGTTAACAAATGTGAAAATAAAAATGTTATAAAATAAAAACGAATAAAACCTGACCTTAATATATCAGCAAACATAAACTACCACATACTAGGTATTTTGAGAAACAAAATACAAAATACTTCAGGACTAAAGGGAATGATATCTAGAAAAACTTCCCACAAATATATTTTACCTGCTACCCAAACTATTAAGATATGTTTATATTGTTAGCACCAGGTAAAAACATTTTTTTTGGGAAGAGTAAAAATGAAAGTATTTTGGGAAGAATAAAAAAACGTATTTTGGAAAGAGCAAAAAAAAAAAATTGAAATGGTTTGAACTTACTAGAGCAGAGGAGAATGTTGACAGACAAAACAGCAGCCAATAGACCAGCAAACATGATGAGAGCCTGTGTTGATGTCTTAGTCGCTTACAAAAGAAGTAAGTGGTTCATGTAGATGATGACCTAGACTACAGAAAAATCGTTATTGATTTTGATTATTTTACCCCAGACCTGACCTCGTGGCTTTTTTTTAATAGTTTTGGTTTTATTTTCTGATTGTTTTAAGATTCAATTACTCCATGGCTATGGAAGCCAATCCAAAACTAAAATGGCTGAAACGCAATCAAGGAGTCATATGGCGCATGACATGTTTACAAGTTATGCTTAATGAGATTTATTTTCTACTTATCATTTCAAATGCAACAGAAGTTTGAACCACTAGAAAGAAATCAATCAAGGCAGTAGAGGCTAACGTTTACTTAAAGCATAGCTATGTTTTTAAAACTAAATAATAATAAAAATTACAATCAGTAGGTACGAGTTAATTAAAAGAGACCGCAACTCAGCATTGTGTGAAATAGCTTTACTATCCAGTATTTCTGTCAGACGTTTTTCTCTTTGGTGGGGGGGGGGGGGGGCGTGGAAAGGGGGCTGGGTGGGGGGAACACACCCCTTCCCGAAGAGATGCCTGGGCGAAACTCTGTTCTATCCCAATACACTCACGCCCCTTACTGAATACTGTGCTAGTACTTTAATACGGTTTATTTACTTATATGATCTGTGAATGTACCATTGAGATACAGGACCATGATGAACAAACCACAAAAAATTCCTAAAATGTTTTATACGCTACAAAACGTCCACGTCTATACATTGATATAAAATCATTTAGGCCTATAACACGTTTTCAAATGCACCCAAAAAATGAAAATAAAACTAATCTGCTTTATTACTTTCTCGTATACAAAGTATTTAGGAAGTATGGTCATTGTGTAAAAAATGATGTGAAATTTTACCAGTTTTCATCGTTTTACACCTTAGTACTTCATCATATAGCGAGTATCAGGGAAAAGTAATAAAAGCAGATTTATCAAAATTTCGGTGTTCTATGCGTAACTGAGTTGGAAAAACTGGGCTTTGCAATTCTGACCGTATATCTGTGATTGTGTGTGTATGTGTGTATGTGTATGTATGTGAACACGATAACTTAAATACCGTTACAGCTAGGTTTATGAAATTTTACACAAAAGTATTATATTAAATTTTTAGTTCTGTGTCCAATTTTCAGCAATTTCCAGTAACCGGAGGTGGGACTTTTTGTACTTTTAATTTTTCAAAAGTTTACAGCTTCAGTACTGTTTCAGATAGCTAAATAAAATTTCAAATGTAAGTACAAAATCGAATTCACTGAATTCTATCGCATTTTGAGTAATATCCGATGACCAGAAATAGTAATTTACGCGATTACCTATTTCTAAAAAAAAACGAATGTGAATTCATAAAGTACTAATATTATTCCGCACTATGTGTTTGGCCTTCACTTGATGCGCAATTCTTTTTCCTACGAGATTCTATTCTATTTTAAAAAGTTTAAGTAATTAAAAATTGATCAAAAATATTGTCTATATCCCGAGTTGCCATACCCGTAGTGTTATATAAGAATATTCGGGAAACTTTAGGGGAGATACTCCCGGTTTATTCATAAAAGGTTTGTCGCTGAAATTTGAAAAAAGCTTTAATTAAAGCGATCTTAGCTTTTATTAAAGAAAGCAGATTTGGTTTATTTTCTTATTTTCAGTGCATTTAAAATCTTATTTCAGAAAAGATATTTTATATTTATGTTATTTTCCACTTTAAAGTGATTCACTATTTATAAAGTCAACACTACTAAAAATATTTAAAAAAAACAAAACAACAACGCCATCAGTAGCTCGTTATATCTGCAGATGTTTATCTGCCCGTTAATGCAGCCATCAATGACTACAATTTACAGATAACGGTAAGCTGATCCAACGAGATAGTTCATTAATCTTGCTACCGTCTCTTTGTTTGACAAACTATATTATCTGACACTAATAGCCCTCACTTGTTAACACTCTCGTGAACCACAACTCACGATACTGTTAGGGATATTAAGTTTATTCTTCTGCTATTGATTTAATAGTTTATAGTGCGATTTATACTTTTCACACGAAGCCTAAACTCCTAAGATTTTAAGATTTTTTTCGTGGTTTATTCATGATTATGAATTTGAAATCACTTTAAGTTCTTATGTGCAGTGTGTCTGACATTACATACCTTGTATGTCAAAGGAGGGGTGAGGAGGAAGTGGTGGGGGGGGGGGGGGGGGGGTGGAGGCGGGGATTACAACTAGATCGGATTTTGTTAACTTTCTGCCACGTTAAATTTCCCAGTCAACCTAGAGGTCAAAGCGGGACAGGGGAAGTGGAGTCTACATAAGAAGGGATCGTTTGGTCAGCACTATGCTCAACAGCTTTTATTTTCCCTAACGTGAGAAAGATGCCCATAAAGACGGCCATTTATGGACTTATTTTAAAATCTAATTTTTCGAAAAGAAGTAAAGGGGGGGGGGGGTTGGAGGTGAGGATGGATTATGTTTCGTGACATCAGTTTAGCGAGATAATAGATTTGTATTTTATTAGGTTTTTGCACGTTGGGAATAATGGTCTAAACATTCGTAATTTGTTTAGTTTACCTACTATACTATCTACAATTGACAGCAATGTCTGTATATTGGATTATTAAAAAAAAAATTATTCAATCAAAATACAACAGGGATGGTAGGTGTCAGATAAAAAAATAAAACATCCAATCGTAGGATCTAGATAATTTAATTTTATCATCTGCTCTTTAGACTGCATACAAAGAAAATAATCGATTTATTTTGGGAAATAAGAAGTTAATACTCAACGTTGGACGCAGGTGTGAATTCAATTAATTAAAATTTTAAAAATCTTTCAACGGGAGCTTTAGTCTATAATATATAGAGCAGAGGCTTAGGCAGGGGGGGGGGAGGCTTGGGGTGTTATAACCCCCCCCCCCCATGAACCCTTCTTTAAAAATTATTGTCATAACACCACTGTAATTTATTTAAAATTATTCCTGAATCAGTATATATGTATACTTATATATGTATGTTCGAACAGTCATCTAAAAACTCACGATATGTTCACCCTTAGTTGATTATCCCACCCCCCCCCCTCCTCACCACCAGAACGAGGCAGTCGTAGAACAACCCTGGGGGATAACAAACCAAACGTTCTGCCCGTCGTAAATCTCACTCGGGCGGTTAGATTTGACCATATGTCTGGAGTTATAGCGCCCCATGCTCGCCGTTGGAGCTATTTCCTTGGATTTTTGAAATGTTTTAGATTGAATATCCTAACCAATGGATATCCCACCTCATCCTCCATGACCGCAAACCAGTTTGTCTACGGCTGTTTATTTGGTATTCACAGCAAACCCTTATATCTAAGGGCTTCTCAATCCGTCACCTGGTGATGCGCTTGGTAGGAGATGGTAACTCCCCCTAGAATCACTAATTAATTTATCATTATAATTTTAAAATATTTCTTGCGTGATGCTAGGCCCGTAGACATATGCCTAATTGAAATGAAGGTTTTTATTTTTATTTTTTTTAAATTGATAAAAATCGTTTTAATAACAAGCTTTTATGTAATAATGCTCTAAAAAGTAGAAAATAAATTATACACTACTATTAACTAACTATAAAGAAAAGCGTCGTTGAAATATTTCTTGATGTAAGATTTTTTACTATAGAGTCTATAGTTGTTACAATAGAGTTCTTTTCGCCGTGGTTGCTGTGTTTTTGGGGTGTGAGGCAAAACAGCGGCAAGTGAGGGCTGTTATGTGGAGTGCTTTAAAAATTTACCTCCCTTGTACATAGACCGAATGACGTAGGTTTGTATTTTACTTTTTCACAAACAATTGCTAGGTTTATATGAGAAAATACGGCCCTAAGGATTTTTTAAAAGTATTTTGTTATCCTCCATGGTCGGTCTACGACCTCATAAAATATTAATGGGATCGTTTAGCAATTAATATATAGCTCATATAAAAAGAGACTCACTCGCAGACATATTTTTATCCCTCATCAAAGGCTTAGAGTCTGACCAACATTGTTTCCATATGGTCTGGTTATCTTTAGAGGTGCATGCAAAAAATTAGCCAGATGCAAAGACAGAAAGTACCTTAAAATCTGTGTGTTGACATTACTCTGTTTTCACATACATTTATACAAATTTATATAGAGAAATACGACTGGTCAGTCTTGACCTCTGTCCCGATTTTTCCAGATATGGCGAGTTTTAGCCCTCGCAGGTGATCAGAGTCGGACCGATAGTTTATCTATAAGGCCGATTAATTTACCAAGGTCTATGAAAAAAAGCAAGATGTACAGAGCCTGTGTTCCCTAAAAGTGGTTTGTAAATAATCATCGTCTTTTACCAAATTAACAGAGAAAATTCGGACCGGTCTTTTCTAAAGCCCTTCCTGTGTTCTCCCGAATATATCATAGTTACCCCCGATGGTCGGCCTACGATTTATGAAGAGGTTACTACGTGGGACTTTTTTTTCGATATGTAGCTCATATAAGGCGCCGGTCAGTCGAGGTCAGTTTTGACCCCCTCATCTTGGACTTTGGGGCCGACCGGCACTGGCCACTGTGTTCAATCGGCCCGAGATAGGAGCATGCCATATTTGAAGCGTCTGCGACGACGGGACGTGCCCGATGGAAAAAATTTGATGCTTGTTCGAGTAAGTATATTCCATAAAACTTATATATTTATTCATTTCTACCCAGGAGAGACGGCAGACTTGAAGGTTGTCTAATCTTACCATCAAGCTATGCATTAGAGTCAACTATACATAGTTTGTGTAGTCTTCACCTCCCAACCAGCACACCTTCTCTAACATTTTCACCGTACACGAACTTTCAAATTCTAATAAAAAGTTTTTACAATGATTAAAGAATTAGTTTGTTGTATGAAAGGAACTTTTATTTAAAAAAAAAAAAACTTAACAGGAAAAGCGACAGCAAAAATTAATTAAAAATATTATTTTAGGAAGGAGTTCAATGAACGGATACATGCAGTCCTTAGATAAAGATTTATTGGT